CTGGGAGAGCAGCCTGGAAGGAAAGAGTTAAGAAAAACTTAGGAGTGGATCATAGATTAGGCAGATGTTTAAGAAGTTTTCAGTTATTGTCAGGCTTGCTTCAGCTATGGAAGAAGAAGGAGGTCCCTCCAAACTTTAATGAGATCCACAGTTGAAGGAATTGGGCAATACAGCCTTGATGTCAGGGGCAGGTGCACAGAAAAGCAACTGTCTCAGAGGAATGTGGGAAACCAAGGGGGCAGGGTGCACCCTAAACTCAGTGCATGGCAGCCTCACCCCACCTACCCTGCAGGCCTTGCTAAGCCACACCTATGAGAGTAGTTGACTTCACCTGAGCCAACTCAGAAGGGACCCTGTACCAGGGAAAGTCTGCAGGGCTGGGGGTAGTGACATCCAGGCAGACTCTTCTGTCCATTGGAGAAGAGCCTCTGAGTTACCTCACCCAGTCCTGTGGATCAGAGCATTTAGCTGGGACAATCCCCTCTTGCCCTAACCCTGCATGAGTTTCCACTTCTTTTGTGTGACTCTTTGTCTCCTGGGAGCAGGTGAGTCCTGGACTCAGCAGAAACCTCTCCATGGGTTTTCAAAGTCCCAGCTCCAAGCCTTTCCCTTTCCTGTGTGGATCCAGGTTACTCCTTAAGCCTTGTTTTTACCTTGTGTCTGCCTCTCCAGTAGGCCCCATGGTTGCTACAATCACCCAGATGCCAAGATACCATATTACACAAACAGGAGACAAGGTGATCCTGGAATGTTCTCAGAATATGCACTATTTTGTAATGTTCTGGTATTGACAGGGCCCAGGACTGGAGCCAAGGCTGATCCACAATTCAAGTGGTGTTGGGAGCATCTCCCATTCGAAGGGGATGTCGCAGAAGGGTACAGTCTCCTGAAACAAGAAGAAGGATTTCCCCTGACCCTGGAGTCAGCTAGCACCAACCAGACCTCTCGGTACTTCTGTGGCAGCAGTGAATGCACAACACTGCACAGCCAGCTGCTCTCTGCACAAAATGAGCAGCCACAAGCATAAGGGACGCTCCTTCCTGAGGCCCCTGTCTCACAGAGAAAAACTGCCCCTATGAAGCTCTCATCAGACTTCCTAGCAAGGTGATCTCAGTCTGAGGGGCCTTGTAGAGCATGAACCCTAGTGTGAACTGAGGTTTTCCATCACGTGCGTGAGGGAAAAAGTGCTAATAGCACTTAACGTTATTTCACTCAGTTTAGAATGTTCTAGTGACTGAGTAAAGCAGAGGAACAGTAATGCCCAACATGAAGTTTATATTTAATTTTCTTTTCAGTGGAGAAGAGCAAAGCAGGAAGCAGCTGAGCAGCTTTAAACCTGCTGATGATCTGGATTCTACAAGTCTAAAATTGTTACAGAAAGTTGCCTTGGACTGCAAAACCAATTAGTAATTATTCTCTGGAGGAAAAAAATTCTCAACAACAAGTTATAAAACACACAAGTTAACAACAAACTACTTAGGGGAAATAGCAGATGCATCAAACAACTGCATTAGATCCGAAGATGATCAAGTGTACAATTATCAAGAGAGACCCCATGTAAGTCCCCCTCCATGGGCACAGAGCAGAGTTTGAGTCTTCTGAGGCTGTGCAGGGTAGCTTAAGGAAGGAGGCTAAGTCTTACAATTCCTTTGGCTTGGATTAGGATTCATGAGCTCCTTGTTTTTTTTCTTATGAAATATTACAAAATTATATGGGCGATCATTTTATTCTTCCCCAGCTTGTTCTCTCCTTGCCTCCTCAAAGGCAGAAGTCTGCACCCAAATGCAACGTTTCTTAGCTCGGGATCCGTTAACTCTGAGACTGGGACGTCCATAGTTGGGCTTCACAGGATGTTCACTCCCCATGTGCTGCTGCTGCCCCATGAGCCCGTGCTGTGCCCTGTGCACCCTGGGAGCCTGCCCAGGAAGTGCTGGCTCACCCAGGACCTGCTCACAGAGAGGGAGCAGGCTGCTTTATTGGCAAAAACTCACTTCACTAACTGGCCAATCTACCAAAAGCCTAATAAAAAGACTAAATGGTGAACCTGATGAGTAAGCAATTTGCCAAATTATTGAGTTCACAGCAGTTCAGGATTCATGGAAGGATTTCAACAGCCTTCGAGGTTTTTTGTGAGTCTGTGAAGTTTTTGTTTGGCTACAGCTTTCCTTGAGCCATTGATCCTCAGCTGTTTCTCAGCAACATTGGAGGTCCAGCTTATTTTGATGCCAAATATGGGTGCTGTGTATTTCTGTCACTGAGGACTTCTTACATTCTCAATGTTTTATGAATGTGAATGTTCCTGTCTTCTCTTATTTGTGTGTGATTAATTTCTAAATTGGACTATATGGAATACAAGCATAATATTATATAAGACTCCCATCTTTTATAGAATTCTTTTATTTGTATGTTATTAATACTTGATTAAGGTATGAATAATAGAGATTAAAATGCTCAAATCAATACATGGATAGCTTGGTAAATTTTTACAAATGCATACACCAGTGCAACCATCACTCAAGTCAAGATAAAGAAGATTTTTATCTACCAAGAAAATTTCCTCATCCACCTAACCAATCAACATATTTCCCAGAGCTAATCCCTTTCTGACTTTTTTAAATTTTACCAAGGAAGATTGTCCCTGAGCTAACATCTGCTGCCAATCTTCCTCCGTTTTTTTTCCTTGAGGAAGATTCACCCTGAACTAACAACTGTGCCAATCTTCCGTTTTGTATGTGGATCACCACTGCAGCATGGCTGATGAGTTGTATAGGTCTGTGCCTGGGAACTGAACCCGTGATCCTGGGCTGCTGAAGAGGAGTGCACCAAACCTAACCCCTAGGCCATGGGGCCAGCCCTCACTTTCTGATTTTATCATCATAACACTGTACATTCTTTAACTCCATATAAATAGAACCATACAGTAAATACTCTTTTTTGATTGACTTGTTTTGCTCAAAAGTTAATATTTTTGAAATGTACTCAAGTTATGCATATCAATAGTTTATTCTTTATATTGCTGAGTAGTAGGTCACTGTTTATCACAATGTGTTTATCTATTCTATATATGCATAACTGGATTGCTTCAATCTTCGACTATCATAAATAAAGTGTTTCTGAATGTACTCATACAAGTCTTCATGGATAAATGCATTCATTTCCCTTGGGTATAGACATAAGAGTAGAGTCACTGATTCATAGGGTAAGATGCACGTTTGCCTTTATTAGAAACAGTTGAGCAGTTTCCCTAACTGGCTGCACCAATTTACGTCAGCGAGGGATGGGAGTTCCCCTGGCTCCACATTCTCACCAACATCTGGTATCTCTGTCTTTATATTGTTGGCCATTCTGTTGGGTGTGTAGTGGTATCTCATTTGCATTTCAGTGATGGGTGCTGATATTTACTTTCTTCATATGCTTTTTAGCCATTCCTGTATTCTTATCTTCTTTTGTATAGTGTCTGCTTTTAAATGTGTCCATTGTTAAACGTTGAGTGGTCTTTATATTATGGATTTGTAGGAGATATTTTTATATTCTTGATTTCATTAAATATACTAAGTCTGTCTTCTCCCAGAGTGCCTTGCATTTTCACTTTCTTAATGTTGCCTTTTGGTGAACTGAAGAAGCTTTTCCCACTCTCCTTAGAAATTTGCCCTCTTCCCTTCCTTCCTCTTAAATCGAAGGCAATCACTGCAGCCGAGGGCAGTGCCCAGTGAGGGGCACAACCCATGGGGGATCAGAGGGAGGGTCCTGAAGAGGGATGTGCATGGAGGACCATGGTGTCCAGTGCATATATGAAGAAATGCTCCTGCTGTAGGCTTCCCGAGGTAGGAGTAGGTGAGGACAGGTAGTCATTCTGCCCTGGAGCCTCTTCAGATTCCATGTCCCTAAATTACACTGTTTATATTCACATTGCATATTTCTCTATGCTTCTTCGGACTATCTCAGCAATGCTAATGGCAGACTTTTGGAACCTTTGCTACTTCTTTTTAAGGAAGGATACATTATCCAATCCTAATTTTTCCATTGCTTTGTCTATTAGACAGGCTCCTGGCAGAGTTGAGGAGGGACAATGAAGGGACTATTTACAAAGGTGGGGCAGAGCTAGGGGAAACCATTCAAAGAAGGAGAAGCGTCGTTCTAGCAGAAGTGGATAGCTTTTATTCCCATTGGCCTGAAAGAAGGAGGAGAGGTGTGGTTCCCTGGGCCACTGGATGTTATGGCTAAGGGAGAGGATTGCCTGCCACATGCCATGGCTTCGTAGAGAAAAGCAGCTACTATGAAGTGTATCCAGCAAGAAGAGAGCCAAAGGGCAGATATTTCAGACCAGGACTGTTGGTGACCCTGCCTCCCTTCCTCTCCTGCCATTATCTCCCATAAGCAAAACTCAAGTGTGAAGTAGAGGAGAACAGATCCCAGTTAATATAATCCATAGAAGGTGGATGTAGAGGGATAAAGGTAAACTGTCCAGAACACTACGCCCAGATGGCCTTGAGCGGGCAAATCTCAAATTGGCAAGGCCTGTGCTGTAAGCCAGTACAGTCAGAGCATGTTTTCTGGGGCATCTCTACTCCTAGTAATTTATAGACAACACAGGTCTCCTTCAGACATGATCAGATGGACTAAATCTTAGTGATTTTGCATCACTGGCCAATCAGGCCAGGGGATATGAACAATGCCTTAGGAGGGAAAAGATAAAAACAAAGCTTGGTTTGAACACAACGTCAGAGAGATGATTGAGGACACACAGGCAGAGCAGGAACAGAGAGGATTACTCACAGGCCCCTCACTCTCAGCTGACGTGCTGGCAGGTGAGTTCCAGCACACAGCACTGCAGGCAGAATGTGGGGTGTGGAGGGCGATTGGGTGACTGGACATCCTGTTTTCTGGGGCAAGTGCTGCACAGGATCACCTGCCTCAGAGAAAAACCAGCACAACTGTGTGGGGAGGGACTTCACCCTAAGTCAGCCCTCCTGCCTGCAGAACAGCAGGGGAATCTGGTGTGTGGGGCAGCACTGAGCGCTGGACCTCATGAATCTGCAGGGTGATGACATCAGGGTGGTCTCATCAGAGGATAATCCTCCAATCAGAAAAAGCCAAGCTGAGAATTCAGCTCTTACCCAAGAAGACCAGAACCCTGAGCTCAGAGAGGCACACTGCTGCCCACCTGGCCGTGCAACGGGCTCCAGGCTCCTCTGCCGGGCTATGCTTTGTCTTTTGGGAGGAGGTGAGCCCTGCAGGCAAGCAGCTCGTTGCTCTTCTAAGCTTTACCTTGCAGATACACCATCAAGCTCACTCCCGTGTTCATTTTATTTCTCCATTTCCCACAGGCCCAGTGGAGGCTGGAGTCACTGAAACACCAAGATACCTGATCAAAACAACAGGACAGGCAGTGACGCTGAGATGTTCTACTGTCTCTAAGCACTCTGGTGTATCTTGGTACCAACAGGCCCTGAGTCAGGACCCACACCTCCTCTTTGAGTTTTATGAAAATGTGCAAAGAGCAAAAGGAGAAATCCCGAATCGATTCTCAGCACAGCAGCTCCGTGACTATCGCTCTGAGCTGAACGTGAGCGTCTTGGAGCTGATGGACTCGGCCCTGTATCTCTGTGCCAGCAGTGTGGCACAGCCCTGCAGAATCACCAGTGTTCTGTGCACAAACCTCCTCGTCTTGTCTCTAATAGTGAGAGAGCACGCAGGCTCCATCTGGTTTCACTTCTTCCGGGGAAGCATTTAAGGTTTCAAAGACACTTCCTGTTCTGCTGAGCTCAGAGCTCTCCCAGCCAAACTACCAGAACCTAGGCTCATGTGTGTGCACTGAATGTTTCCACGTGTCTCCCAGCATCATCCCACAGTTTGTCAAGTCCTGGGTGAAGTCAATAGAAGAGTGACAGCTGAGTCCTTAATGTGAGCTAGATTCTTTGTATATATTACATGTTTTAATGCTTTGCAAGAATCATGCAAATGAAATATTCTTATACCCACTTTATAGATGAAAAAGCTAAAGGATATTGAGTAATTTTCCCAATGTCTCATGATTTAGAAGAAGCAGACCTGGGAAACACAGTTGTCTGTTATAAAGTCCATACTTCTTCCACCTGACCTGCTGCTCCATCATTAGTGTCCTCATCCTGGTCAGAAGGAACAGAGAACCAGCGGGGCAGCAGTGGAAATCTCAGACATCACCATGGCCATTACTGTGGCCTCTTCTATGTCAATTTTGAGAAACTTACGACTTGACACTGATTGATTGTCATTTGTATGAGTCCTCATGTCTTTGCCTAGTCTACAGGTTACATTTTCATTTTTTGTGGTGTGCTTTGAAGTATGTGAGTTTAATTTAATGCAATCCAAATTATAGCTTTTTTGTATCTCCACTAAAAAAATTCTCTCTCAAACAAATGCCTGAAAATATTATCTTTAATTAACTCTATGAAAATTTATATTTTACTTTCCACAGGTAAGACTCAATGTACCCTGTGCCTATGGACTCTGCTGGAGCTGGGATTCCTCCCCAGATCAGGCTCAGCTGGGTGAGCACCATGGTCTGAGGGGACTCAACCTTCTTTTCCAGCCACTTCTGCACCTCCACCATTGGAGCGACCACAACTGAGGAGTTTCAGAGGAATTCCTTTTAAGCAGCTTCTTATGGGAAGGAAAGTTTATCTGAAATTGGATACATACAAATGCCCTTAACCCTTCAGGTCTTTGTTCTTTTCCCCGCTAGCTTTTTACGAATCTGCCCTCCTTACACCGTTTTCATTTCAGTCACAAGCCGCTTTCCACGTTGTGTCCACCCCTGCCCTGTGCCCTCATCTCTGTTTTAACCACACTGGCCTCAGTTCAGTTCCTCATAATCACCCTGCTCCTCCCCACCAGGAGGCTTCTCTACTCCCAGGCTATCTTCCCTGTGGCAGCACAGGTCTCTCCTTTGACATTCTCCTGCCCCAGATCTCAGATTAACCACCACCTCCTTAGGGAAGCATTTCTTCACTGTATTAGTGGTCAAATCCCCTTCTTATCAGGGCTCATAGCTTACACTATTCAGCAGCATTTAGCACAGCTTTCATTTTACATGAACTGTGTGACTATTCAACAGAAGCCCCTCCCAGTCTAGACTATAAAACTCACTGTGTAGTGATGCGGATGTCTTTATTCCCTGTGTTATTCCCAATACCAACAGTAGTTCTGGGCACCAGTGGACAGTCTTTAAGGAATGAATGGATCATGGAAGACCATCCAGGTTCCCACTTAGGCCATCCTAGAGGTCTGGCCACATCAACTGGGACCTTCTATCCCTTTGTCTCCTGGGATCAGGTGAGTTATGACATGGAGGAGAAATCACTCTTACAGGCTCGTGTGACTGGATCCCAAGCCTTTCCGCAGGGCTGCTGCTTCATAGCTTCTCATCAGCTTCCTCTACTTGTCTCTTCCTTCAGTCTCCTTCCCTCACAGGTCCCATGGATTTTCGAGTCTTCCACATGGGAAACCTAATCTCTGGCAGAATGATCAGAAACAGACTATCAAAAACTGGTATGAAAAGATGATGGAGTAGGAAACAAAATGGCTTCTCTAGTGTGTTAGGGAGGGTTTTCCCAAGGCACAAATATCGCCTGGATAAATTAGAGGCCATGAGGTCTGATACCCTGAACTGTATCATGGATGTCCACGTCCATGTATTGCTGGGCAATGCCAGAGACACAGAGCTGAGATCACTCTTCCCTGTACCCCGGCTTCCCCCAGCCCACACCCTGACTGTGATGCAAGATGTTGTGCAGGGCCCTATCCAGGCTCTCCCTCCTTCACTGGATGGGAAAGCCTGTTTGTGACAGCAGAGTCTCCATTTATTGAGAGAGGCCATGTGTTAATCCTTGAAGAATTGTGAGAGTCTTTCTGGGTAGAAATAATCAAATAGATGATCATCTTTGATGGTCTGAGGATAGACGAAAGCCCCAGTTTTGCCTGAGTGATTCACATCATTACTTTAAAAACTAATGCAGTTTCATATCCTCAGGCAGTAAAGACCAAAAATAGACTTATTTCAAAGAATCCAACCTTAAAAAGACTGGAGTTAGAACATCTTCCCCTAGGGACAGCATCTCTTCTCACTCATTTGAGACAACCATCTTTGAGAAAGCTGTGGCTTGCTGATGAACACAGGAATAACAGCACCCTCAACATTGTGACGATACAGCCACTTGATTTAGAAATAAAAAATGAGCATTTCTTGAGCCTGTGAAATTGTAAAAATGTAACATTTTTATTGAGTTGAAATGCAGGCACTAGAGTGTGCTCATTTACCTTCAATTTTTAATTAAGGGGATTCTTCAAAGCTTGTTCTAGAATGGGAGTTCAGAGCCTCCACTCCATCCTGGTGGTCAGTCTTTCAGGGTTAGAAGCTGTGTTAATTCATAGTCAGGAAAAATTGAAGTCAACATCAAATTTGTCACCTCACTGCTTACCCACCTCATCTGTGAAGGGCCAGCCACGAGCACCAGCACTTTGTACATTTTTGCACTTGGCTTATTCAAAGAAAATGGGCATTTATAACACATTCCATGGCAAGTGCCTTTCTGGACATTGCCTATTAAATTCTGCAACCCAGTTAAGGGTTTGAATTGAAAGGTCTCTTGTGGTAAATCTATGTTTCATAATTTTAAAACAATCAGCAGTATATTAAAAAAAGGTTAAATATTTAATAATCCTCTCCCACCTCCAAACACACCCCAATCTAATCCCCCCTTTGGTGAAATTGTTGTGTTTCTTCCTACCCCTCTTCTTTGTGTTCATGCAAACCCATCTACCTAAATACACTTACAAAACTGGGGCCACCTGTACACATTAACTGCCACATGCATACATTTTTCTCTTAATCTATGTTGGATTTTGTTTTCTCAGCTTGGTGTGTTCAGATCTAACTTGCTCCTATTTGCTGCCTCATATTGCATGATGCAGAGAGACAGGTACATTAATGCTATGTCATCATTGTATTCCATCTTTCCGACTAATACATTAATGCTGCCAGGTCTTGCTGAAAGTGGCTGACTGGCCTCTTTGTGCTCCCAACATCTTCTTTATGAGGCCAGTTCTATTTCTCACTGTCCTACAGGTCTGAGAACTCCAGCCTCACTCCTTTACTTGAAGAAACAGGGAGGGAGAAGAGGATGAATGTTTTTTAAGCTTACCAGTTGCTAAAGTATCTCAAGTAGTCTCATAAAATGTCAGCCTGTATTCCCTCTGTTTTACAGATAAGGAGGTTGAAGTTCAGAAGGGTTGATGGCCTTGGCATTGGTCTCAGAGCCATTAAATGCTGCTGCCAAATTACAACGGACAGTCTGTTTGCATCTGTGTGGGAGGACATGGGGCCACAAGGTCACTGAGGTTGAGGAAGGGGGGATCTGCAACCATTAGGGGGTGTCAGTCTTTGAATCAGATACCAAAGGTAGGAGGGTCCATGTGTGTCTATGCCTCTGGAGGTTCACGCATCATGACATTGACCATGGAGAGGGTCTAGAGGTGGTTGATAGTGACCTGGCCCCAGAGGAACTGAGCTTTGAGAAAATTATTCCTATACAAGATGCAGCACAGACACGAATGTGGATAATCCTGGGAAGGGAGCTCTGTGAGAGCTATTGTTAAATGAAGGAGAGGGAAGAGGCAGCTAAGTGGTGGATTCACATATGTGAAATGTGGAGGAACACAGTGTTAACTCACTTGCAAGCTTGGTCTGATCATTTTTGCTTTTTAAGTGAATGTGGGATGATTTATTTCAAAGATGAAATTAACATCTATCCCATTCCTTTTCCTTGTGAGGGCTGGTGACAAAGAGAGAAATGGTGAGGCTGAAGAAACCACAGTTTAATTGTTTAAGGGGCACAGTAATAAACCATTCAGTGTTCCAGGAGGCTCTCAGGGACCAGAAACAGGTCAATTTTCGTCCATAACCAAGTTGGAGGAAGCTTCTCTTCTTTGGGAAGGATTGTGACTATTGTTCCTCCTTCTAAGGGGGCCATCAATGAGGCTTTAAAGTTATTCCAGCAATAAACATGAAAAATTAATTACTCACAATGCTGTCTGTTAGGGATCCTAAGGATCTGTTCACCCCACCACCCCATTTTTATTGTTTAACTCTCCCCAGAATGTTAAGAGTAAAACAATTCTGACTCCTTCTGAAGGTAAGGTAAGGTTTTGGAACATTTATTTACTTTAGAATTGACTGAGAAACACAGGAAGCACCAAGATAAGTAGCAGAGGACGAAAAGCAGTATGGTGATTAATGAATTAATAGAAGGACTTGTCCTTTTACCTCCAGAATGAATAGAAGATCTCAATTTAGGTGGGTACCTGCCAGCCAGAGGCATGATCTCATCCGCCACATCTATGAATTGTGAATTCAAACTGCTCTCACGACAAGGACGTGGCAATGTTCCCATCCACCCTGCCACACACACACACATCTCTCCCTCCTGCACAAACCAGGGATAGTACCAAGAGAATACAGGATCGAGATCAGAAATAGGAGAGCTCACAGGAAAGATGATCAAGTCAGCATTTTATACTGTGAACTGGAAGGGCTATTGAAACGTTCAGGTGGAAATGTCCAGCTGACGATGTGAAAAGAACGAGAGAAGTGAGAAGACCAGCCAGACAGGGAGTGTTGGGTCCAGGCAACAGAACACTGGAGCTCTGAGGCGTGACAACCAAGGAACCTAACAGAATCAGTGTATATTTAAATCCACTTTAAATTACCTTTTCATTAATTCTATGCTTCACAATTTTGCAACTTTAAACACTTCTGATTATGAGTGACAGTAACTTTTTTTCTTTCTCAGTGGTACATACTAGAACAGTGCATCTTGGAGTTGCTTGTATCTGAGAGTTAATTAATTAATTATTTAATTAATATCAGGTAATCCTGAGGCTCAGTGATGTCACTATGGGAATGGCCTTGTGGAGACAAAAGGATGTCCCTCCTCTTCTGTTCATGCTCATAGGGACCCTGACCTACTGAACCTCCCATTCCGGTCCTAACCCTGCCATGGGCACCAGGCTCCTCTGCTGCCTAACTTTCTGTCTCCTGGGGACAGGTGAGTCCTCAGAAAACCAAGCAGTGTCACTGTGTGTGTGTGTGTGTGTGTGTGTGTGTGTGATGATTACAATTGTTTTCCTCATTCTGTTCTCAAATTCTGTCTCCACAGATCACACCAAAGCTGGAGTCTGCCAGTCCCCCAGGAACAGAGTCTCAGAGAGAGGACAGGATGTCGCTTTCAAGTGTGATCCCATTTCTGAACACACCCAACTTTGCTGGTACCGAGAGACACTGGGGAAGGGCCTGGAGTTTCTGATGTATTTTCAGGATGATTTTGCATCAGACACATCAGGGATGCTTAAAGATCAATTCTCTGCTGAGAGGCCCGAGGGATCCTCCCCCATTCTGAAGATCCAGCACACAGAGCAGGGGGACTCGGCCGTGTATCTCTGCCAGCAGCTCAGCCACAACATGGCACCGTCCCTTCCTTCCTCTCCACAAACCCTCATGTGCTACCTCTCCTCATGGCTCCCAGGATCCCGAATAAAGAAGTTGCCTGCTCTTCCCTCATCAAGGGGAACAAGTGCTATGGGTTCTGCCATTCTTCTGACAGGAGGAGGTCAGGAAACAACCTTCCACATACTGGAACAGATAACATTGGGTAGCGATAATTTTGGCTCATGGATTTCTAGGATTCTTTTACACAGTTCAAGATTCTACAATTGTGATCGACTATCAGAGTTTAGTGTCAAGGGTAGTGAAATATTCTCAGTTAAAACTATAAAATTTTTGCATATTTACAATAAACGCCTATTACTGACGTCCTTAACTCAGACCACACTATGTCCAGCTGTGGGTTAGCCAATACAGAACTCTGTAAGGCCACGCGCAGCCACCAGCCTTCAAAATAAATAAATGAGAATCCTTAGTAAGAAGTGCCATTGAAATCAGTTATCCAAGTAATTGTTACCCAAGTAATGGCCATTAGTGTGTCCATATATCGCTTTTTCATTTCTCTTGACACTCTTGCAGTCATTCTGTGTTTAATTTCCTTCTTCTCTAGTCTTTTTCAACAGAAATTTAAATTTGTCTAGGTTTGATGAAATATACCACTTGAGAAAGTGTGAAAGGGAAATGATTCAAAGAAGATCTGAATAACAGTTACATTTACCTTTCAGAATTTTTTGAGGTTTCCAAAGTAGTTGTACAAATTTATACTCTCATCAGAGCAGAATGAGAGTTTCAGTTGGCATGCACACACATGCGCACACACATATACACACACTCCATGGATTACTTTTTCACTCTCTTAATGATGTCTTTTTTTTTTTTTTAAGATCAGCATCTGAGCTAACTGTTGCCAATGTTTTTTTTCCTCTTTTTTCCTTCATAAATCCCCTCAGTACATAATTGTATATTTTAGTTGTGGGTCCTTCTAGTTGTGGCATGTGGGATGCCACCTAAATGTGGCCTGAGGAGCACTGCCATGTCCGAGCCCAGGATCCAAACCAACGAAACCCTGGCCCACTGAAGCCGGTGTACAAACTTAATCACCGGGCCATGGGGCCCACCCCTGGTGTCTTTAGATAAACAGAAATTCTTAATCTAAAATCATTCCATTTTAACCCCTTTTTGGTTCGCATTTTGTATTTTGGTTTCTAATTTAGAAAGTTTTGGCCTACTTCAAAGTAATCATGTTTTCTTATATTTCCTTCTTAATTATTTCTATTTTAAAACTTTCACATTTAGATATGCAAAGTGAATGGGATTAATTCTTTGTGTATGAAATGAGGAAGCGATCAAGTTATATTTTTCCATGTGGTTACCCAACTAACCTACTACAATTTTTTGAAGGATAATATTGTCCTCACCACTCTATAAAATCACGCTTGTCATAAATCAGTCATTGTATATACATGGGTTTGTTTTCTTGAATCTCTATTCTGTTCCATTATGTTTTGTCAGTTTTTGCACTAATAACTCACTGTTTTATTTATTACACCTTTATAATAGTTCTTGATACCTGGCACTCTAATTTCTCAAGCTTTGTTCCTTTTTATTAAAAGTCCTTGATTCTTTGTATTTTTGACATGTATTTTAGAGTCAGCTTGTCAAATTCTTCAAGAAAAACAATACCTCCTAGCAAGTTTTTGCTTTTTTTCCCAGTTATTTTATTGAGATCATGATTTATTGCACTGTGTAGCTTCAGCTGTATATTATTATCAACTTCTGTGTAGATTGCATCGTGCTCAGCACGAGTAGTCTAATTTTTATACGTCACCATACGTATGTGCCCTTGACCCCTTTTACCCACCCTGAAGCCCCCTTACTCTCTAGTAACCATTAATCTGTAATCTTTATGTGTATGTTTGTTTGTCTTTCACATATGAGTGAAATCATGCAGTATTCATCATTCTCTGGCTTACTTTGCTTTACATAATACCCTCAAGGTCCATCCACGTGTTGCAAATGGGATGACTTTGTCATTTTTTATGACTGAGTAGTATTCTATTGTGTGTATGTGTATATATATATATATATATATATATATATATATACACCACATCTTCTTTATCCATTCATCTGTCAAAGGGCATTTGGGTTACGTCCACATCTTGGCTATTGTGAATAATGCTATAAGGAACATAGGGGTGGAGAAATTTCTTTGAATTGCTGATTTCAAGTTCTTCATATAAATATCCACTAGTGGGAAAGCTGGAATGTATAGTATCTCTATTTGTAATTTTTTGAGAAATCTCCATAATGTTTTCCATAGTGGCTGCACCAGTTTGCATTCCCAACAGCAGTGTATGAGGGTTCTCTTTTCTCCACACCCACTCCAACATTTGTTTCTTTTTTGTCTTGATAATTATAGCCATTCTGACATGTATAAGGTGATATCTCACTGTAGTTTTGATTTGCATTTCCCTAATAATTAGTGATGTTGGATACTTTTTCATATCTTCTTTGGAGAAATATCTGTTCATATTTCTCTTCCAATTTTTTGAGCACATTTTTTTTTCTGGTTGAGTTATATGAGTTCTTTATATAATTTGGAAATTAATCCCTTGTCAAACATACGATTTTTAAATATTTTCTCCCAGTTGGTGGGTTGTCTTTTTATTTTGTTTATGGTTTCCTTTGTCTTGCAGAAGCTTTCTGTCTTATGTAGTCCCATTTGTTTATTTTTTCTTTTGTGCCCCTTACCTGAGTAGACATGGTATTTGAAAAGATCCTGCTAAAACTGATGTCAAAGAGTGTACCGCCTAAATTTTCTTGTAGGACTTTCATGTTTTCAGGTCTTACATTCAAATGTTTAATCCATTTTGAGCTAATTTTTGTATACGGTGTAAGATAATGATCTACTTTCATTCATTTGCATGTGGCTGTTCTGTTTTCCCAACACCATTTATTGAAGAAACTTCTTTTCTCCATTGTATGTTCTTGACCCCTTTCTCGACAATTAACTGACCATAGATGTGTGGTTATTTCTGAGCTTTCAATTCTGTTCCATTGATCTGTGTGTCTGTTTTTCTGCCAGTATCATGCTGTCGGTGTCACAATCCAATGTACACATCAGGATAGATGCGGAGAGGGCTGATGGCCACTCTGAGTTTATTGTAACCAGCGTTTCAATATATACATAGCTTACATCTGTTAGACATACACAGGTGTTCTGGATGAAATAATTAGCGAATGCCAAGAATTCTTAGTGATTTCTCAAGGAGCCCTCCCTCGGCGTCTGTTTTGATATTATCATGTTATTGCTGTGTTCGTATATTTTTATCTCGGAGCAGGCAAGGTCTCTTAGGCAACGGTCCCTCCTGCTCCCAATATCGATATCATTTCTCCATCTGTGCCCCTGGGCGGCCGCCACCTGTCTGAGGTTGCCCCCCCCCCCCCACCAGGGGTCTTACCGGTCATTGGCTAACCGGCCGTCTCACCTCTGTGTCACAGTTTGTTGGCAAGCTTTTTCCAGTGATTATTAACCCTTCCTGTGTCAGGGGCAGCTACACATGCTGTTTTGATTACCCTTGCTTTATATTATATTTGAACTCAGGGGTTGAGATGCCTCCAGCTTTGTTCTTTTCTCTCAGGACTGCTGTGGCTATTGGGGGGTCTTTTCTTGTTCCATATAAATTTAAGGAATCTTTGCTCTATTTCCTTGGAGAATGTCATTGGGCTTCTGATTGGAATTTCATTGAATCAGTAGACTCTTTTAGGTAATATGGACATTTTAACTATGTTTATTTTCCAATCCATGAGCATGGAATATCTTTCTATTTTTTATATCTTCTCCAGTTTCTTTCAATAATGTTGTATAGTTTTAAGTGTATTGATCTTTTCACCTATTTGGTTAAATTTATTCCTAGATATTTTATTCTTTTGTGGTGATTGTAAAAGGGATTGTATTCTTGACTTCTCTCTGCTAGTTCGTTATTAATGTATAGAAATGCAACTGATATTTTTAAGTTGATTTTGTACCTTACAACTTTGCTTTAGGTTGTTGATTATTTGTAATAGTTTCCTGATGGATTCTTTAGGGTTTTCTATATAGAGAATCATATCATCTGCAAGACAAGGGTGCCCTCTCTTGCCAGTACTATGTTGAATAGGAGGGGCAAGAGTACGCACCATTTTCTTGTTCCTGTTCTCAGAGGGATGGCTTTTAGTTTTTCACCGTTAAGTATGATGTTAGCTGTGTGTTTATCATATATGGCCTTTATTATGTTGAAGAATTTTCCTTCTATACTCATTATGTTGAAAATTTTTATCATAAATGTGTATTGCATCTTGTCAAATGTTTTCTCTGCATCTATTGAGATGATCATGTGATTTTTATTTTTCATTTTGTTACTGTGGTGTATCACTTTGACAGATTTGTGGATGTTGAACCACCCTTGCATCCCTGGTATAAATTCCACTTGGTCATGGTGTATCATACTTTTAATGTATTGCATATTCAATTTGTCAGTATTTTTATTGAGGATTTTTGCATTTATGTTCATCAGTGATATTAGCCAGCAATTTTCCTTCTTTGTCTTGTCTTTGCTTGTTTTTGGGATCAGAGTAATGTTGACTCATAGAATGAGTTAGGAAGCATTCCGTCTCCTCCAATTTCTTGGAATAGTTTGAGAAGGATAGATATTAAATCTTCTTTGAATGTTTGGTACTATTCTCCAGAGAAGTCATTTTGTCCTAGAATGTTATTTTGGGGGAGGTTTTTGATTACTGTTTCAATCTCTTGTGATTGGTCTATTCAGATTCTCTATTTCTTCTTGATTCAGTTTTGGGAGGTTGTATAAGTCTGAGAATGTATTCATCTCTTCTAGGTTATCCAATTTGTGGGCATATAGTTTTTCATAGTAGTCTCTTATAATCTTTATATTTCTGGAATATCCATTGTAATTTCTCCTTTTTCACTTGGAATTTTATTTATTTGAGCCTTCTCTCTTTGTTTTCTTAGTGAGTTTTCTAAGAATTTGTCAATTGTGTTTATGTTATCACAAAATAGCTCTTAGTTTCATTGATCCTTTCTACTTTTTTTTTTTTCTGAGGAAGATTAACCCTGAGCTAACATCTGCTGCCAATCCTCCTCTTTTTGCTGAGGAGGACTGGCCCTGAGCTAACGTCTGTGCCCATCTTCCTCTACTTTATGTGTGGGATGCCTGGCACAGCGTGGCTTGCCGAGCGGTGCCATGTCCGCACCTGGGATCCGAACCAGCGAACCCCAGGCTACCGAAGCAGAACGTGCTCAGCTAACCGCTACGCCACCAGGCTGGCCCGAGAATTTCCCTCTTATAACTACTTTTGCTGCATCTCATAGAGTTGGAATGTTGTATTTCATTTTCATTTGTCTCTAGGTATTTTTTTTTCAATTTCTCCTTTGATTT